ACACATAATGTACTTTTTAGGACTTTTTCATCAGACAAAAATACTAGACAGTGCAACTCATGCACTCCAATAACAGTCTGTCAGCAAATGTACAACTCCTTACCAATGTAACATTCTATATTCCCCTAGTGTTTTCAACCATCTTGCCTTATTAGAAATCAAGTAAAAGTTTTGATATAATTTATACACACAAAACATCCACAGTGGGCCAAATATTTTTGTTTGTTGGACAGCCAGATTTGGTCCAAGGGCTGCTATTTGCTTAGCAAAAGTAGCCTTATGCCCTGCACAGCTAATATCACAATATCAAAAGAAACAAGCTGTGGGTCAAATATATATATACATATATATACATATATGTTTGTATATTGCAAGTATTTCTATGCCTCTCATAGGTTCAGGCATGATAAATAAGTGCAAAGTAAAGACACACAGTTTGTGCAAGGCAGAGTGTGGGGAAGGTGCAATATCAGGTGCAACTGTAAGAAGAAGGTAGAGGCGAGGGAGACCTAATTAAGATAGTAGAGATAAGTAGAAGAGAGCAGGACATGTTCCTCAAAGAGATGGATTTTCAATTTGTGCTGGAAGATTGAGGATGACTGTGCAGTTTTGACTTGGGGTGAGAGAAGGCTGTGAGTAGAGATTTCCAGATTGCCACAGAGGACCTCTGACCACCTGGTGGTAGCAGACTGAAGCGCATGGCTGTTTAACCAACTAGAGGAGGCGATTTCTGAAGAAACTGAGGGGGTGAATGCTGTATGTTGAAAAGCTGATACTAAACTGCATTGACGCCTATAAAAATGTATGAATTGTGTGAAATAATTTAAGGTTTGTTAAAAAACTAATGCTAAACTGAAGTTGCAGATTCCAACCATTTGAATACAGCTCAGTGTAGGCTGTGAAAATACAAAAGGCCCTATCTAGAGCCAATGTTTGGCTTGTGTATTTTGGGCTGCTGCAAAATCATTGCAATTCAACATAACAGCTTCTGTGGAAGAGGACCCACTCCGTCTGTAGATAAAAATGGCTCTAAGGTAATAAACAATTATTCTTATTTTCAGGAGCTAATACACTAATGAAACAACACCTCTGAATATTATATTCCATTTCTGCCTATAAAACCTCCTAAATAAATAAATAGTGATATTTGAAGAAATAGGAAACACTGCTGAGCACGCTGTGTAAGATTTGTGTGTGTAGTGTCAAAAATGTGAGCACAGGAGCAGTTAGAGGAGCTGCTGTTTCTGCTTCCCTCCTGAAATTTGTGCTCTCAGTTAATATGGGAGTGTTGTAGTTGGTTGGTGCTCCTGTCACTTGGAGGCTTCTTGAGCCAAAAGTGTAAGTGTAAAATTGACTGAGAACAAGTTGAAGAAGCTGTACATTCAACCCTACACACTATACATTTACTCTATGTGAATTCCTATTACTGAAGTACAGTCTGAGCTTAGAATTCAGTTATCATTAAAATCAGCTCATCAGCATATAAATGCCTTAGTTCAGACCTGCCAAATGGAGACATAAAAAAATAGCAGAGTCTACAATTTTCCACATAAATCCCACATAATTGCAACATACCTCATACAACAGCATTTAAAGGCTTTAAGCAATTTTCTCAAAAGTAATCTAGATTACCTGGTTTTAATAACTATTTAACTTATCAGAACAATGATTTTAGATATATTGAATGTAAATATTTATCATGGCTGTTAAAAAAAAGGGTAGAAACTCTGTAGAGTATCAGTAGTCAGTAGTAGCTAGTTGAGTTTGTTTTATGAGCATACTGTTGTCTTCCTTCACATACTCTTATGATATTGTGAGTTATAGTGCCCTTTCTCTGGTAGAAGGTGTGCTTATGCTCCAACCTATGCTCCAACCCAACTCAGTCCACAAATCCATCGCACCAATGAGGTGCTACTTCTCATTCGTGAATGCCACTTTTTTGACACTTTTTGTTTCCTGTCTTGTACCTGGTGTTGTTTTCTGAATGTGCAATCTCTGCATCCAAGCAACCCCATGAATCTCTTATGCGTTTTAGGGTGACATGTTGCTTTTATGAGGCTCAGGAATGGCTTGAAAGGGTCCGGCTTGCAGACAGTGCCACAATGATGCAGTAAATCTGCCAGGTCTATTATAGCAAAACCTCAGCTCATCACTTGTTGCATTCTTGATGTCCCTGTCCTGTTTATTTGATATGTCAAGGTGAACTACTCAGCATGGTTGCGATGACTTTATAAAGTACGTAGATTATATATATTATATTAGCCTGCCCTTGACCTGCAGCCGAATTAAATGCTGCTTATATTTTAATACGTTAATATTAATGATCCAGTAATATAATGTATGATATTGTGACACTGACAGGAGCCATTACACTGCATTATGAGTACTTTCACCTTTGAAACTTTCAGTATATTTTACCGATAATAATTTCATACTTTCACTTACACAGGTAACGTGTGGATGCACTTTTACTTCATGTGGAGTTTACAATATAGAAGTACTTTTATTTTAGGAAAGGATCTGAATCATTCTTCCACTACTGATGGCAGGGTATAGTAGACTAAATTAATCATAGATTTCAACTTCATCAGATAGATGGAAACACTATGCAAATGGCGCTGTAAGAAAGAATAAAGAAAACACACTGATTTATGTGAAATGCAGAAACATTACTAGACTGCACTCCTTGTTCAAAACCATGTTGCTTGTTATTCAGCATCTGAGAGGTTGTGCTTATGACCACAGCCATCAATAAAATGTGCTTCAGTCAGTACAAAGAGCTAGTAAAAATAGTTTTGAAGCATTTACAAACTCAAAAGGACAAATCATCTTTCTCATATTCTGTATACAGTTTCCAGAACCAGTCCTTTTAGAAAATCTTTGCCCTGCACCTTCAACGAAAGAAAAAGAGGGCATATTGAATACTTATCCTTGCTGAGATGTTGAACCAATTTTCTGCTTACCAAGTTTTTTTTACAGATTTTTTTAATCTGTATTTTACTTTCTATAGCTGTGCTAAACTGTTTTCCATTAAGTGCAGAAAAACACGCCTATTTGGAACAAATCTGTGAAGATGAGTCTTTTTGCTGCCAGTATAAACGGTACAGAGGACACATCACCCTGAAATATCTTTGTGCTTTCCAACTTTTAGATGAAACATTCCACAAAGTCAGAGGGACTCTCATATGTTCATTCGTTCATTGATTCATTCATTTGTTAAGGAGGTAAGATAGTGTCTAGGACTTAATTGATCCAGATTTGTTCACCCGGCTCCCATCTGCAACACTGCTGACTGTGAAGAAAGCTTTGCATTTATATCAGAATGTGACTTTGTTAATGTATATTTCTATCAGAGATTAAATCTTTATCATCCATATTCCATTTAGTGTATCTGATTCTGGGTACATCATCATACTCAATGTAGCTCTGTTTTCCTATTTTTTTGATGCAGTAATGCAAGCAAATTAAATACATTTGTGTTGCTTTTAGAAAATACAATTTTTATTTATCCGAACAGAAAAGCAGCGCTAAAAATGATTATTTCCTGAATAAATGTATGTATGTTGAACAGAATGCATTTGTGTTGCATGTTGTGTTGATGATATCTTTTTTATGACTGTTTAGTCAGAAGTTTATAAAATATTTTATCCTTTTTTCACTATATTAGTATTACATTAAGACACAAACATCCCAAATAGCCAACTGAAACATACAGGTTATGTCAAAAACATTCACAGGCAGTCCAAGCTACATGAGAGTACATGAATTGGTAGTTTTAACAAAAAAGGCAATGGCACAACCTACTGGATATGTTATGTACATGTGTGCTTTTCTGGACAACCCGTAGAGTTCCTGCAACAAATACATGTGACCACAAGATGTCGCAACTCCACTTACTACTCCACTCTGCAAGTGAACGGCAACTTCATACAGTACCACATTTTAAGCACATTTTTTACTGGTAATGTGAGGGATGGAATAATTAGTCTGCAACTTGCACATTTTCATTTAAAGATACTGAGACATCTTTATGTCTGCACGTGCATCTAAAGGTGCTGCTTCTTCATCTTTAACACAACCGATCATTCAATACTGCAAACAACACTATACATTATTAATAACGATGGGATTAGAGATACAGGCATGGCCAGTTTTACTATTAGATCTCCACCATGGTTGGAAAACAAAGTGTGTGGTTGTATCATAATGATATTGTTCCTTTGGGTGGATAAGTATCAAAACATTTTGCGATGTAGATGGGTCCTCTTGATTATAAAAGACGATTTTTATATTATATTTATTGTATTGAAACATAAAATAATGGAAAACAATATTAACATACATGGGCTAAGTTATAATAAACAGTTCAATTTGGTGTTACTTTCTCTTAATTAATGGCAGATCTGAGGAATAGGCTATTTTTGTTCCATCTTAGAGTTACTGGCATTCTGAAAACATCTGCGAAACAGCCATAATTACTCATGACACATTCTGCTGGGCTCTTAAAACTTTGACTTGTGACTAAGTGAAACACATAGGCCTATATAATTATTAATAATGATAATTAGCTCAGTCTGATTTTAATTAAAAAGTGTCTTTAGGTCCAACGGGAAGTGAAGACACTGTTGTCAGCTTCTTTGCAAACGCGTTAACGATGTGCGCATGATACTTGGTAGCTCGTTCCTACAGTCAGCTGGGATGGACGCGGTAAGACAACTGCGCATGCGCTTCAGGCAACCATGGCAACTACGTTTGGAACTTGTATCAACCAACGTAACTACGTAAGCTAATGATTTTCGGACTGTTTTTAACGTAACGTTATATCTGTGCTGCGGTTGGGAGTTGAGTATTTAAGCTAACATAAATGTAGTTTAGCTATAATAACCGCATTTGTTGTCTGAACGTTAGAATGTGGGGCCACAGAATACCGACTTCGGTTAAATGACACGCAGTCTTTTTCTTCTGTCCACCCGGAAGAACAGGTTGGTGAGCAGGAAGCTCTTCACATGCTCATTTAACGTTGAGTTGAGTTAGCAAAGTAGCGGCTTCATGGCGCTCAGTGACACTGTCGGTAAATGAAGCTATATTTCAGTGTTCCTGGGTTTTACAAGCGACCCTTCACCACCAGTTTACAAGAGGAACAATAAAAAAGCCTAAATATTTGGGTCGCTTCGGTTGCAGCTAGATTCCACGTAAGAGCTTCAGTGGATAGCAATCAGGTTATAGAGACTTTTATACGATTATAGACGATTATAATGAGAAATACACAATCATTTTGACCAAGGCTAGTCGTGTATCAACTATTAGATGTTGCACAAAGTAACAAATTGATCTCTGGCAAGAGAAGTATGAAAACACAATAACACCAGGTCCATTCATATAATACAGTATCTTTGACAGCCATGGAGTTTTTCCCAGTACTCGACCCTCTTGATAAACCCAAAGAAGGAATATGGTAAGTAAATCATTTCAGTTAATTGCACTTGTGATGTAAGGAGCTAACTTTTCACCTTGCTGAAATTGTTTTGTTGTCAATGTCAACAGGTATTCTTTGATACCGAGGGGAAGTGCTCCAGGTGTTAGTGTGGGTCACACCTGCACCTTTATTCCGTCTGCAGATGGAGGAAAAGGAAGGATTTTGATTGTTGGGGGAGCCAACCCCAGCGGCAGTTTCTCACAGTCAAATACCATAAATCTAGGTAAAAAATGTCAGCGAAGAATGGACATCTGCATCTGTGTTTTATAAGCCACACTTCACACACACACACACACACACACAAAATAAGTTTTGGTTGCTTTGACTGTAGTTACATTTTACCCATATTTGGGCTTTTGTAGATACCATCAGCTGCTTGAAGACTTGATCCAGATATTACAATATGGTGCAGTGTCACTTGTCAAAACCCATTCATAATTTTGACGTATTTGGCAGGGTCATTGGTGTGTTCCTCTCACATATCACAGGCTTTCTTTTGCCCTTTTGTCCTTCCTAACTCCACCAGATAATCATGAATGGGACTTCCCAGAGTGGGAGGGTTTGGAGTCACGGTATGAACACTGCACCTTCGTGCCAGACAGCTGCCCTCAGAGCCTCTGGGTGTTTGGTGGGGCACAGCAGAGCGGCAATCGCAATTGTATCCAGAATATACAGTTAACAGGTAAATCCCAATCCAAATGTAAACTGTAGTCTTCACTACTAGAATTAGAATTTCAGATGTAGATGGACAGTCTATTCAGGTAACTTGTGGTGCCACTTTAACTGTGTTGTAACCAATGTTTTGCTGTGTTATGACAGATTGATTGTACATTTATATAGATTTCTGTAAATTGAGTACAATCCATCCTGTGCATGTGTCCAGACAGTGGGTCTCGCTGGAAGAATGTAGTGGCGAATGGCAGTCCCCCCAGTCCCAGGACATACCACACCAACACGGCTTGTCTAGGGGACAGACTGTATGTCTTTTCTGGTGGGGAAGCAGGAGCTGCACCCGTCTCAGACCTCACACTTCATGTCTTTGATTCAGGTTTGTATTGAATTAACAAGCTGCTTAATATAATTATATCAAGCAGTGAAAATGGGATCAGCTTTGATTCCATGTGGACTCCCATTGGTCAAAAACTTAATATTTCAACTTGGACATAGAATGTATTCATAATTACCTTGTGTTACATTTAATAAGTCACTAATTTTGACTAAGTCCTACACACCTGTGGAACACCCCCACAGATGTTTTCACTTATTTTGGCTGATGATATGCCTTCTCAGAACTGAGGGGGAATTGGTGCACTGTTACTGTGCATGACTGGCATCTGTCTAACTTCCCTTTTACTTTGTTGCGCACATTAAGACAGGCCAATTTTCACGTTTACTATTTCTTTTTTGCATGCAATATTGCTCTCAACTTCAACCTGAGGTCTAATCAAAAAGAAATCCTGTGTAGGTGTTTTTCTGACTGTATGCATCCAGTCTTTAAGTATATTAGGAAAAAGATTAGAAATATTTTGGATTGCAAAAATGACAAAATTAGCATTTTGACATGTCTTAACAGGAAAAGCACAGACTTCACAGAAACTTTATTAATATTGGCTGCAGGGCATTTCTGTCACTTCCACGGCCTTAGTTTTGTGACAGACACTTAAATGTACCAGAGCAATCATTAGGGTTGTTAGTAACACCTTTCCTGCAGCCACAAATCCAAAACTGTAGCGAAAAGGGCATTTTGATGCTCAGTTAAAAAATTATAAACTGATAGATTAGTCATTTGGAAAGAAAGTAGTGAATGTAAGCTTTACTGTCAGTCTCGATGTATGTGTGAAAGATTTTCAGTGTCAAACGTATTTAATAGCATTGGATGTTTTTAATAGCTTTTTCACAACAAAATAATTGCTGCAATGTTAACAAATGTTAAAACAGTTTGTATGTACCTTAAAAAAGTCAACCAATTTAAGTTTGAAATACCATACTTTGAATTGTTCCTCATTAAAACCAAATATGAGATAGCTTTTATCTTTTGGTTCTCCCAGCGTCATCCACCTGGTCCCAACCAGAAACACAAGGCAGACACCCGCCAGCCAGACATGGTCACATTGTAATAGCAGTGGGTTCAAAGATCTACATACATGGAGGCATGGCTGGAGACAAATTCCACAGCGATATGTACACTGTTGACACAAGTAAGCCTGAACTCTCCTGCATTATGATAACAGGGTCGATATTTATTCCTAGCTGTATTGCATTTATATCAGATACAGGATGAAATGACATGCCTCAGAACTTGGGAATGGTGTGTTTGTTTTGTTTATTTAAAAAAATAAAACCATGTGTCTGTTGTTTAAAGGGAGCATGAAGTGGGAGAAAGTGCAGGCTAAAGGAGACATCCCACCAGGAGTAGCAGCCCACTCAGCTGTGGTGCTGGGCAGGAACATCTACATTTTTGGGGGGATGACTACAGATGGAGCCAGCAACTCCATGTACAGATTCAACACTGGTACACAATTTTGAATATTTGCATTTCATTCGGTCATACACAACACTGTTTATTACTACATCTATAAATGCTATGGGGAAGTTCAGTTCTTCATGAAATCTTACTTTGAATTTTTGTGCTTAATCTTACACCTCCTCTGTCTGCAGACAAAAGTAGGTGGGTCCTCATGACGTTTAAAGGGGACATGCCACCCAACCGCCTAGACCACTCCATGTGTTTATTGCCGTGGAATGTGTGTGGTGAGGGCAATGGAGGGGAGGAGGAAGCCAGCAGTCCAGCAGCTTCAGAGACCATAAATCTGGCCTTTGTGTTTGGAGGGATGGACACTCAGGGTGTCATTTATAATGACTGTATTGTGACTGTGGTGACATGATGTGCCTTGATTTTGTAATATTAAATTTGCCCAAGTTGTAATAAAATGTTTTTCCAAGTACCTGCATATTGTTTCATTGGAAACCTGAATACTGGTTATGGATTCATTTTGTACTGTCCATACTGAAATGAACCTTGTTTGGGTGGTCAGAAAGGGCTTCAAATATTGATCTCTGGAGTCAGTAAATAAATGTAATAAGAGACAAAGTAACATTTTATATCAAACATTTATTTCAATGTCTTTCCAGAAGTACGATGACCAGATTCAATAAATAACTTTTAGCATTGCCTGTGAACATAATGAGCCCTTGATCCCACAGACATCCCATTCAACAGACCCACAAACACCTGCCCTCCCACCCCCCTCCCCCACTACAGAATCCCCATCAGGACTGCCTGAGAACAGCAGCAACAAGCCTCATATCAGGGCTGATGAATATCTCCGCCTTCCAGCGAAGAGAACACCTCTCTCTCACACTGAAACTTTTTTTTTTTTTTTTTAAAGTCTTTCAGAAGATTCAGTATGGTTGCTCGTCATCGCCACCCCTTCCCAACCATTCCTCTCACTATTTGAGTCCCATCAGTCCAATATGTACACCTAGATGCCATTACCAGAGAGGCAAGGGGCGACCGAAGAGTTGACTTCAACCCTGCCTACAACTCATCCTTCTCATCTTGCTCGCTTTCGGCACCCTCGGGTGGGGGTCCGCCCGCGCTACCGTAGAGCTTGCTGATAATGGGTTGAACGACCTCCTCCAGCTCCTTCTTCTTGGCCTGGAAGTCTTCCAGCTCAGCGTCCTGGTGCGACTCCATCCACTCGATCTTCTCCTCCACTGCCTTCTCAATGGCTTCCTTATCGTCATCAGACAGCTTGCCGCCAAGCTTCTCCTTGTCCCCGATCTGGTTCTTCAGAGAGTAGGCATAGCTCTCCAGCTCGTTGCGAGCGTCGATCCTCTCCTTCAGCTTCTTGTCCTCATCAGCGAAGCGCTCCGCGTCGTTCACCATGCGCTCGATGTCCTCTGGTGTCAGGCGGTTCTGGTCGTTTGTGATGGTGATCTTGTTCTTGTTGCCTGTGCCTTTGTCCTCAGCAGTGACGCGCAGAATACCGTTGACATCGATCTCAAAAGTGACCTCAATCTGTGGTACACCACGAGGGGCGGGAGGGATGCCAGTCAGGTCGAATGTGCCCAGCAGATGGTTGTCTTTTGTCAGAGGACGCTCGCCTAAAAAAAAGAGAGATTCAATAATTAAGCATGTGCAATAAGATCTTCTGCGTGAATACAAGGAAAATGCAAATAATAAATGTTTGAAACCAGGTCCAACTCTTACCTTCATAAACCTTAATGGTGACAGTAGGCTGGTTATCAGAGGCGGTAGAGAAGATCTGGGATTTCTTTGTGGGCACCACAGTGTTTCTGGGGATCAGCTTGGTCATTACTCCTCCAACAGTCTCAATACCAAGGGTCAGGGGGCACACGTCCAGAAGAACCACATCACCTGCAAGAGAGGAAAAGGTTTAGTAAACCAGGCAAAGTTGGAAAGTTCAGCTGAGTTGAACAGACACTACAATGTACGAGGAAGCTGACTTACCGGTGTCCTCCTCTCCAGAAAGCACTCCAGCCTGCACAGCAGCGCCGTATGCTACAGCCTCATCAGGGTTGATTCCCCTGGAGGGCTCTTTGCCATTGAAGAACTCCTTCACCAGTTGCTGGATTTTAGGGATACGGGTGGAGCCTCCAACCAGGACAATCTCATCAATGTCAGACTTCTTCAGGTCAGAGTCTTCCAGCACCTTCTGAACAGGCTTCATGGTGGAACGGAACAGGTCCTGTAAAAGTAAAAGACAAGGTTAAAAGGCTTGTAAAACATAACATTTGTTTCAGTTGTGCTGTTATTGTTTTTACACGACAGAACTCATCGGTTGTATAACATACCATGTTGAGCTCTTCAAACTTGGCACGGGTCAGAGTCTCAGAGAAGTCTTCTCCCTCAAAGAAGGACTCGATCTCGATGCGGGCCTGGTGCTGGGCAGACAGCGCCCTCTTTGCCTTCTCAACCTCACGACGCAGCTTCTGCACAGCGCGGTTGTCTTTGCGCACATCTTTGCCAGTCTTCTTCTTGTACAGCTTGATGAAGTGCTCCATGACACGCTGGTCGAAGTCTTCACCTCCAAGATGAGTGTCGCCGTTGGTGGCTACCACTTCAAACACATTGTCGTCAATGGTCAGAAGGGAGACGTCGAAAGTGCCGCCACCCAGGTCGAACACAAGAATGTTTTTCTCGCCATCCCTCTTGTCCAGACCATAAGCAATGGCCGCCGCAGTTCTAAATAATACAATTAGGAGAATACATTTTAGTAGAGGAAGAGAAGGAAATATTTTTTTACAATTTCAAAAGAATTACGGATGGATAAATAGTTATTAGATACTTACGGCTCATTGATGATTCTCATAACATTCAGACCAGCGATGGTTCCAGCATCCTTAGTGGCCTGGCGCTGGGCATCATTGAAGTAGGCAGGGACAGTGACGGTGACCTTGAGGAAAAGATTAAAAGACAATTAGATTCAATTACAATTTATCTAGGAGGTCTGGGATATATTTTATGCTGATATCCTCTTGACAACCTTCTTGCCCAGATAAGCCTCGGCAGTCTCCTTCATCTTAGTCAGCACCATGGCAGAGATCTCCTCTGGAGCAAATGTCTTCATCTGGCCACCACCAATGTCAACCTGAATATGAGGCTTGCTCTTCTTCTCAGTAACCTAAAGAGAAACATTCAACAATATTAGTATACCAAGTATGTCGCTCAGACATTACCTGAAGACCGTTAGAACCTAAAACGATAACTTTAACATCAAACTATCAAGAGTAGAAACTCACCTTGAAGGGGAAATACTTGAGGTCCTGCTGCACAGACGAGTCACCCCAAGCGCGCCCAATCAACCTCTTGGCATCAAAGACGGTGTTATTAGGGTTAGAGGTCAGCTGGTTCTTGGCAGCATCACCAATCAGACGCTCACCCTCAGCAGTGAAGGCCACATATGATGGGGTGATGCGGTTACCTTGGTCATTGGCGATGATCTCCACACGGCCATTTTTGAACACCCCAACACTACAGGGAAACCAGATTTTAGAGGCGTGATTACTCAGAAAAGGGAAACGCAGTTTGCTGAGTGTTAGTTTCAATTCCACAAATGTTGCAGTCGGTGTAGGCACTCGATCCTTCTAAAACAATCGAAACCAGAAGTCTTTATTTTGTTTGTTTTCTTACCATGAGCTAGGGTGGTCCCCAGGTCGATTCCAACCACATCATCCCGCAGCACTCTCCCCCTCGTCTTATCGTCGTCGTCGGCAAACGCCCGGGTGCCGGCCACCAGCATTACAACCCACAACAGCTTCATCTTTGCTTGTTTCAGACTCAGATCTATAAAGAAATCTGCGGAGAGGAAATACATTGTTTTTAAAAAAAAAAAAAAAAGTGACGTGACGTGACGCTCTCTGCCTCAGTTCACATAGCTACAGGACAATCTTAATGTCATTTACTGGTATTCAGAGCCATTAGAGATGTGCAGCCTGCTCTTTGCTAATAAATCTCCAGAAAATGTAAAAACTTGTACACGTTGAAAGAATATGGGTACACTGGGTGGAGCACCACTGCCTCTTCCGAACCACTGACTACATTTTTTTTCCCCATCCGCCGGTAGCTAGCTAACCACGTTAGCGTGTCTAGCAGACATGTGAGGGAGAAATACTTTGCCAAAACGAGCACTAAAAAGTACATTATTTTTGCATGGTATACTGAAATCACATTGAATACCCATTTGATTTTAAAAAGCTATGGCAAACCTCGTGTGAATTAGGGATGTGAATCCCCACCAC